CTGCCCCACGCACTCTTTCCCCCCGTCTCCCTACACATCCCTCTCTCCTCCGACCTCATGGTCGTTGTCGTCGTCGCCATCGTTGTCCAAGTAGTCTTCGCGGCTCTGCGCTAGCTCCGCCATAGCCTGTACACGCAACCAAACAAATAATAACCCGAACGGACGGCAATCACGAGGCGTCCAGATACTAAATTATGCATGAAACGACGCCGTGCTGGAGGGCCGACCGCACCGCACAGACACCTTCGTTCGACCACAGGGCCACCCCGTGGTCGATCCGGGGCCCAACGCGTGTGATAAAACCGACAAAACACAGCGAACCGACTAGACTGCACGACGAGTACAATACCGTAAGGGTGTGAGGATGCGAGAGAACGCACGGTTCGGTGACATCGCACGTGCCGGTGATAATCGCACGGCCCCGCGCGATAAACAACCAATAACGCAATAATGTAAAAATCGATCGCACGCTCGTGCGTTCTGTTGCATTTCCTCACGGTACCATACAACCGCCCATCACCTTGTAGATGCCGGCCACGCCCCTATTATCTCGGAAGGACGCGACCCAATCCTCGTCGGCCTTCTTGAGCGCCCTGTAGAGCTCCTTTATCTCCTTCAGCTCCGGCAGGTCTTCTACCTCCATGAGGGAGTCCGCGAAATCCTTCGCGGACTTTTCCTGGAAGAGATGGAGAGCGCGGTGGTGAGGGGCAGCAGCAGCCAACGCGCCGCAACCAACATTCTTCTCGGTATTCCCTTGGAACGTTCGCCGGCTTATCCTTCCCCCTCGCGCCCTGGCGACACTCTCGCCTGTGTGCCCGGTTCTTTAATCTTCCCTTCGGAGGCTCACACACGTACAGCACTCGCCGCCACCAATGATGATAATTAAGAGATTGAGGGTTCGATCGTCAAGAAACAAAAGGAATCGAACCATGCACACACAAAAAACCACCATGGTTCATGTTGCTGTTGGTTTTCCCACTGATCACATTTGGAGCGAGGGCTGAGCACAATGAGTGTTTCTGAAGTCGTGGCGCGTTCTGTCTGAAGCGCACCCGGGTGCGAGCCCAGAACTTGCCACAGATTCACAATCTTGAGTGCTACGAGGAAAACACTGGTGCGGGCCCTTTGCTGCGAAACGCAACAAACACTTCGCAAAACACGTACGTAAGGTTGTGAAACCGACACAACGACGACGGTTACTCTCCAACAGACCTGCTGCAAGAAGGAACACCATCGTCGACATCACATAAACCTGATGCCACCACCACCAAAAATGACAACAACACGACACCTTTTCCGCGACTACAGTGGAAGCCGCCTCCATGATCGCCGCGAACTGCGGTTCGGATGCCCTCCGGTCCTTGAACCCTCGTGTCTGAGCCGACAGGATTCGGGAGGAGCCCCCTTCGCCGTTGCTCAAGTCTTGGATAAGGTTACGCTTGGTGGAGTTGGGGAGCTTCTTGAGCAGCTGGCGGAGGTCATCATCGAGCCTGTCTTCCGAGTTCTACCCGCCCAACAATAGCAAAAAATCAACAACGAAAAAGGAAAAGCAGCGGAGGTGTTTAGGTAAGGCGTGGACGTACACGCGTTATGTACCCACAAAAAAAGCATCACGCGACAAAAACCAGAGAGGGGATGTTGAGCCTGGCATACACTTGTTCACACGCAAGAAGAGAGAAACAACAGGGAGCCTATGGGAAGGCTCGACCGCACGAGACAAGCATGTCTTTTACCCTACAGCATGAACCATTGGTGGACTTCGGACAGCTGATTCCGGTATCTTGAAAACACATGTGTACCTTCATCTTTGGGGCTTATGTTTTTCCTGAAAGGGGCAAATGCTCGGAACAGACAGCACTTCTTCGGGAGTCATGCCTGCGCCTTCTGGTCTAAAAACAGATACACGCGCAGACCATGTGTGACTTTCATGCCTTTCTCCGCGCCTGGGCAGGCCAACGCTAGATGGTTTTAATGGATACTCCCCAAGGGTTATGGTTGGGTTACTGTCTTTGTTGTCTTTCCCGCGCGCCCGTCCAAGAGAAAGCCTGCCGATGTGTAAATCCCAGCGTTCACGTTTTGAGAATTTTCGAATTTGCGGCGAGACACGTCGAGAACAACAAAAAACATTTTTCATGTTTCTCTTCGCTGGTCTTGGAAGTTGAAGGACCTTCGCGCGACATGTTGGGGCTTCACGCATACTCTTGATGAGGTTCTTTAGGTGATGTGAAGGCCAAGGCTTGACCGCCAAACTCCGTTCTTTTGGCTATGCGGAGTGGGGAAGAAGAGGGGGAGGTGTGTACGGCAGTGCACTGGACGGAGATCAGACCATCTGAAAAACGATACCGTAGAAGTACCGGTAGCCTCCGCTCCGCTGACGCTATGAGTTGATTGCTAGTCTACCGTAGACTCTTTTCTATGGAGAGAGCGAGAGGTAGAATTGTTGTGTCATCCTTCAGAAAAAAGAAAAAGAGATGGATTCGTTGGGTCATATTTCGAAGAAAAAAAAAAAATGCAAGCAGGACCGCGGCGGACAGAAAAAAAAACAACACTGTTCTTCCCTACTACTGCAGTGGTGCGGACCCCTGCTGTGTGACCCCGCTCGGGTGCTGCTGAAGCTGCTGAGTCCAAACGTACCTAAAGGTGTGGTCAACGTGTTGAGTGTGACGTCCAGAACATACAACATAGTCTTTTGGAGCACGTAAGACACAAAACCATAAAGGAGGGCGTGTACACGGAATTTTCCATGGGCCAGCCAATGCCGGTCCGGGGTTTGAGTGAATCCGCGCCGTGCCTAATATTCTTTGCCCTGGGGCCTGCCTGGTAAAACTTTCTCGAAAAAACTCCCGCAATCAAGCTGAGCCATTAGTGGGGTTGCATGCGCGCCGCGTTGTTGCCGAGAGTAGGCAGCGCACGGCAGGCGGGCTGCTACCTTCGGGCCATGAAGAGGGCACCTCCTACTAGGGATACGGGAGCGTCGGCTTGGTACGCTGCGGTAGACTCCGTCTGTTAAGTACAGCATATACGTCGACGATCTTCACGTCATGGGGAATCAAGCCTACAGTCAGTTCCCGTACGAAACACATCGCCTTACGGTTCTTCCATGTTCGAGAGCTGGTCAAGGAAGGTGCACTCACCATCCACTACGTTTCTACGGATCATTTAGCTCCCCGACATCGGAACCAAATTCCTGAGCAAGCATCGCCTTTGTCTTCTACTCGACCTTATCAAGAACTTCGGGGAGTAGCTAATGATTCCTGCTGCATCACGGTGTGATCTATCTGTTTCTATATTGTTTATTTGTGTACACTCATTTCACCAGATATTGCTGGCAGTTATTTTTTGCATGAAACGGTCATCAAATTTCGCATGTTATCGCAGACAACTTTCATTGAAGGGGAGTGTTATGGAAATGCCTACTGCTTAACGCATGTCCTGTCTTAGTCAATGTTCAGTACATATGTAGACGAATGACGTATGTGTTATCGATGTATCGATTGGAACGTAACGTACGCGGAGGAACAAGAGCTGTATAGTCTGTAGCTCGTTCTGTCGTTCGGTGCACGACCTCTCTTTGGGATCTCTCTCTGTGATCTATCGGACTGTCTGGGTTGTTTAGCTGTCCTTGTCGTACCTTGGATGCTGCTGACATACTGCCTGGACTACAACCGTCTGTCGGGTGTATCTGTCTGCGTTGGCCACATAAGCGCCGTGTTTACAACACCTCTCCATTTTCTTCTGCACTGAAGTACTGCTGTGCTTCTGCTGCTACTAGCTCCATGAGCTATCACACCGACTAGCGTTGGTGGGTCAGCTTCTGCTGCTACGTGCTGGGGTACACACACAATCCCCATAAATACCGTCTGTGGTGCGAGGTGTCTCGGGGGTATGCGAACGCTTGCTGTACGGCACGCTTATTTGTATCGGCCCGCCCATCCCACACCCACGACGGGAATAAAGGCGGGGGCGGCAGAAAATACATCATCATTTACCCGCCGAGACGCGATTCGTGCTTTTTGTAAGGGCTACAAGCAGACAACGCGCACACCCAGGATCACAGGACTGACCCCGGAGAAAGACCGAAGGGCGCAACCGTTTCGTGCAGCAGATGGCGAACGACGGGGAATCAAGGTAGCTGTCGATTGTAGGCGCCAACAAACATGACGCTGCTGCTGTAGTGCAGCAAGTGTCTAGCGAGAAGGGAGTTTTGGACTTCATTACAGAAATGCTGTGTCCATCTTCCAATAAACAGCAGACCGGGATGACGTAGGGGCGCCGGTGCCACCAACGAGAAAGGCTCCTACGGGGGCAACGGATTCGATGGGCGAACCATGTGTCGCAAAAGTCGGGGAGTCTGATGTGCATTGCTGTCAAGAAACCATTTGCTCTCTGAGTTGACGAAATCATCTCGGTTTCCTTCCGGCTCACGGGAGAGGTGCGGTATTCATCGCAGCACTACTCTGCTACCCTCCCAACTCCCTGTGCTCCCACTCTTTTCCACTTGGCGGACGCGTCCCTCGGGACAGTTAGCCGTGTCGTGAGGGCACGGAACCCAAACGCCCGATAAAGAGAGTCAGGTTCAAAGACATGTTTTTCCATGAGGAAGGAAGAGGCGAGCAGGAAGCTGCCCAACCACCACCATTCCTGCTCACCGTTTTTTTGGAGGTTCGGCGCAAGTACTTGTTCAAGAAGCCCATCTTTGTTCGTCTCCTCTCCTTGCAACCCACATATAGCCTTTCTCCGACAGCGGTCCTCGCTTAAGGTTGGCACGAGGTTGTTGTTCGAAGCAGAGACACTCAACAACAGATAAGCCTTGAAGGAGGGCAACCTGGGAGGGGACGGGGACGCGGGGGCACAATATCGAACAAAGCCTTCCAGGATTTGTAGACTCCCTCCGCTGCAGCTCGCACCTCGCACCTCGCAGCTCAGCTTGCACAGCGGCAGCGGGAGTCTTACAGGCTCGCGAGCTGGCTTTGCGGGATCGATCAACAACAGACGGTGTGGCAAAGATCGTTGCTGTTCCTGAGCGGCGTCATGTCGAAGAAGTGAGTGGTTGTTTCGAAACGAACTGCAGACAAGGTGTCTACTCTTGATATATTTGTATGTGTTTTCTCTCATGTACAGAGTGTAAGGTTTCACCCGTTCGTCTTGTTCCATCTTCTCTCTGCATGCTCACGTTCACAATGCACACACCGCCAACACCGCCGACTCCACCACAAAGAGGCCACCTCAATCCCTTCCCTGACCGGCAGCGCATCCCTTCTTCGATTTTTCGCGAATGGGCCAATCAAATTCCAGGTCCGTCTTCGCCCTTGTCCAGCTCTGCTGCCGCACGGCGGCGCTCAGGCCGTCGTTGCTGCAACCGCAACCGCCAGTACATCTTGCAGCTGCTCGCAGCGGTTTCCCCGGCTCGGCATCAACAGCAACAACGTCGCCACGAGGGCATGGTGGCCCACAAACCAGATCAATCGCTACGGGCTTTGTCTTGCCGCTGAACGCTCACCTTGGCGGGGGTGATGGCCGTGCCATGTCCGCGGCCAGATGCCGGAGACAAGCAGCTGGGCGGGCGGCCGGCACGACAACGACGACGGCCGCAGCGGTCCTGGCAGCAACGCTGCTGCTATCGTCGCCGTCAGGCGCGGTAGCCGGCGGCGGAGCGGCGCCATTTGGGGGATGGGCGGCGGGGCGGCGCAGGGGGGCGCACACGGCGACGACGCCGTCGATGACGGCTTCCGCGGTGGAAGAGGGGGTGACGGCGGTTGGGGGGGGCACACCCGTTCAGGACGGTGCCGCTTCGAAGCCACCGGTTGTTTTCGTCCTGGGTGGACCTGGGTCTGGCAAAGGGACACAGTGCGAGCGACTCGCGAAGGAGTATGGGTAAGGGAAGAAGGGCCAGGGGAGCAGGGCGGAGGGGATAGAAACACAAGGTTGCTTCTGTACAACCAATCGCTTGCAACGTAGAATGAGTCCTCGAACGCCGAGAGAGAAGTGTGTAGAGGCTGTCCCGCTTGCAGTGACCCGAGGCTCAGTGCCAGCGTCGTCCCCTGGGCCTCTTCAGTTCGTCGCCTTCTAAAGTACAAGGAATCGCGAACGACCTCCTATATAGTACTCTGTAAAGGCCATAGTCGACACTGCTGTTGAACCATCTCCGGCATGGCGTTTTTGCTCCTAAGTGTCTCGGAGGGCAGACAACATTTGTCTTTTTTGATCGGGGTCACTCTTCGGGTGCGGATGCGAGTAAAGTCCAGTCTAGCAATCCTCTGATAACGTGGGTGTCCCGGGTCGAGCTCTGTGTTAAGCGAGAGCGTCTGCGGCCTTGGCCACTCCAAAGGGCACTTCGGGTACACGAGCCAGAGGCGCTGGTGGTGTATGAGGGCATAAACGAGCCGAAGAGAGAAGATAGCAGTAGTTTTCTTGATGGGCTGTTGACGTCACTGCGTGCGGTGAGCAATGGATAACAACCTTCCAGAGACCAGGGAACCTCGTGTGCAACCACTCGGTTTCTGGGTCACAGCGTTTTCCCTCAGAGGTTGATAAACACCACAAACTTTCGAAACCATGGACCACTACAGGTACGTGCACCTCTCGGCGGGGGAGTTGTTGCGCCAGGAGCGCGCCAGCGGCTCGAGCGACGGGCAGCTGATCGACGACTACATCGCCGAGGGACGCATCGTGCCCGTCGCCATCTCCCTTTCTCTGCTAAGGAAGGCAATGGAGACGAGCGAGCCTCACTCGAGGTTCCTCATCGACGGCTTCCCGCGGAACAGGGACAACATCGAGGCAAGCAAGCCAACTACACACCTTGTTCGTTCAAGAGTAGGCTTGCGTAGCACAACGCGTATGCAGCACAACGTACGTACGTACGCTGCTGTCGGGGGGGCGACAGTTGGGCTTGCGTGGACGCCGAGCACCCATGAGACGATCCCCACCACAAGAACACGATTCGGTCCAAAAACCCGGGGACGATTCTTGAGATGGTGCTTACAACTCGATCCAGCGGTCGGTACTAAAGTTGTGCGGACTACCGGAGCCACCGGCGCCCAGGGACATGGCAAATATTTTGTACTGTGTCTTTTTTGCCAAGCTTTCATGATCGCGCACTTCCCCACCCGCAGCTTTGCCTGACAAATATACGGCAATTAGTACCTCGACCACCAGTACTGCCGCCCAAGGCGTGTTGAATGCTGCCCCCCATGTTGCCGATTTTTTGCATCCAGGGGTGGGATAAAGCCATGGGAGATGTAGCGGACATTCGATCCGTGTTGTTCTTGTACTGTCCGGAAGACGTGCTCGAGAAGCGCTTGCTGTCTAGGGGCAAGAGCAGCGGAAGGACGGACGACAATGCCGAAACGGCAAAGCGGCGGTTTCAGACATACGTGGAAATGACTTTGCCGGTGAGAGATCTTCCGCCCCTACGTAGTTAGTTATCGACACCACTTGCATGCTTTCTTCTTGAATGGGCGGGAGGAAAGGTCCAATGCTGCGCTGATGAGACGACATCACCAGGTACCTTCTTCTTTGACGTTATGGCGGTCGCATGTGGGGGCGACGCCGATAGCACACACACACACCCGAACTACCTCTGTTTCTGTGGAAACTGAAGGTGGTCGAGGAATTCGAGCGGAAGGGGATCGTCGCCCGCGTTGACGGTAACCAAGACATCGAGTCTGTGTTCCGCGACGTCGTTCTCGGGCTAAAGTCAGTGCACGAGAAGGAGGTGTTAGACGCGAACCGCTTGGCTGTGGAGGCCGTCTGCACAGGGGACTGGGCGGCGTACGCGCAGGTGGGCGGGGTGCGCTTGCGGTAGTTGTGTAGGTCCCTTTCACCCACGATTGCACCATTGCACTAGTGCTGCTGCTCCTGCGACTACTCGGCTCTAATTCCTATATCCCTACTCCCGCGCTCATGTTCTCCCCTCGTGAAGCTGTGCTCACCGGGTATGACCGAAGTGCTAGGGGGGGGACTGGCGGCCGTTTCCCCGGACGAAACCGCCTCCGCCGCCACGTCGCCGACGGCGATGTCGAGGCCACAAGTGCGCATGCTCAAGGGTGGGGCGGCGGCCGTTGTCTCGTGCGAGCGGCCGCGGGGGCCAGGCCTGACGGGCGGCGACAACGGCACTGCGGTCCGTGAGACGAGGGTGTGGGAGATGCTGGACGGTCGATGGAAGTGCGTCCAGTGTCACACCTCGCTCTGATTGGGCGGGGGGGGGAGGAGTCGCCATCGCTGCCCGAGGGGTGACGATCTTCGAGTGTTGGGAACGGTTCCTGGGAACGGTTCGTGTGTTCGTGGGGGTTCTGGGGGGGAAGCTTTTTTTTTTCTCTACGCGGGGCGAATCGCCTATAGACCGGCGCAACGTTTGAGAGTTTAACCTAATGTCATAGAGCTGAATATTGTCTGCCGCGAGATCGAATTTCTCGCCATTTCTTTTGGAGGTTTGCCACCCAAAGAGCGTTCGCTTCCAAGATGTGCTTCTACGGCGCTGAGTTCGTCTCGTGTGGCATAGTCCGCGATGGCGATTTCCGTGTAAAATGGTCGCACCGAGGCGGGGGGAGAGAAGGCAACAGCGTATCGCCCTGTCCTTACACGCCATGAGCTGGGGCCATGTGACTGGGCACAAACTGTGGCCTGCCGTGAAACTCGCTAGCTGAACTTTAATTTTCGACCTCTGAAGTTGACGAAGGGCCCACGTGGAGGGGGTAAGATATATTATATGTAAACAAGACGTCGGAGTGCACGTGCTAGGGTGACATTGTCCACGACTGAACCACAGCAGTAGTGTGTGAGCGAACTAAAAGACAGCTGGCATCCCTAACACGAACAGTCATTCCTCGAAACACACCATGCGTTGGAAATTTGCGCCCGTTCTTGCGCAATCGTGAGTTGGGTTGGGTGAAAGCCTGGGCTCTCGTCGTTTTCAAAAGCGAAAATATCTTGGGTCTTCCTTTGACCCAGGTACGACTCTCTGCCGGATTGGCACGCGCGCCAGCGGGTACGACAGAAGGAGTAGTCCCCCAGCTCGAATCGGTTTCACTTTTATTCGCGCTCTCCTCCTTCACCCCCCCCCCACTCCTATTCCAATTCTGCGAATACACGTAAGACAACCAACCAGCTGCTCAGTATTAACGAGTTCGGCGCAGCAAAACCGGTCACATCATCAGGTCGTTGGCGCTAGGCGGGGGAAAACAAGGGGCCTTCCCCCTCCGGCTCCGAAAACGTTTTCGCACCACGATTGCCCGTCTGCCCCCGACTGAGCCAACATGTAGGAAAACTGAGCGCGGACGTCTGCGACGAATCTCTCGTCCTCGGCCTCTGGAGAGGTCGACGTCTGAGCCAACAGTTCTCGGTCCGCTAGGACGAGCATTCGTGCCAGCCAGCGGGGGTCCACGAAGACGGGGAACGGGGAGACAACGACGCTATCCGATCGGGGTTCGTAGATCTTGTGCGGACAAAATGCGCGAGAGGAGAGGGGGGGGGGGGGGGGGGGGGGG